GGCACTTTCATTCATCAGAGTCACCCATGTCTGGGAGTCGCCCCAGCTCCTGTATCCATCATCCCTTACTACTCATCCCAAAGTCCTGGGCTTGTGCATCCCTGTCCCCTTTACACTCACCTCTGTATCAAGATGAAAGATAGAAAGGACAACCAGTTTCATTCAGTCTGCCACTGAGGGAGACTGACACCAAAATGAAAGACAGCAAAGAAGGTCTGGCCAGAGTGGGCATTTATGTCTATAGATTGAAGCTTGCCAAGACTTTCAGGCAGTCACCTACTTTTATGCGGCAGACAGCTGGGATCACTGGAGCTAGTGTTCTTGCAAGTTCTGCAGCTCCTGGTCTCCTGAAAACCAGAAGTTTTCCATGCTGTTTGGTCCCCTAGCCATTCCTTCAATTCTGTGAGTGCCTTCCCAGTGTTCTGAAAGTTACTTCCCAATGCTTCTAGAAGTTGGAAAGCTTAATTCTTTCTCAAAAGGGCCAGCTAGTAATTATTTTGGACCTCAAGGATACATGCAGTCTGTGTCACAACTGCTCGACTCTGCCACTGGAGTGCAAAGCAGCCCCACCAGCGCTGAGGAACATGAGTGTGCTCCAAGAGAACTGGATTGTAAGAGCAGCCAGTGGGCTGGATCTGGCTCACATTTATTTGTCCATTGGGTGATAGTCACAGACCTTCTCCAGAACTGGTCTATAGATGTTTAGAAAGCAACGTTCCTCCAGTCAGGCCCGGCTGGGAGGCCATGCATGCAGTCCTCTTCCTTGGCCACAGTAATGGAGTCCATCTTTCCTGAGTTGTTTCTACAGAACATCTCATTACAAGTCACAAGGAAGCAGCCAGTCAATTGTTAATTGATTTGAAGCAATTAATAATAGTTTATACATTGAACAAGCATGGGATTTGGTAGGCCCTATGCAAGAGTCCTCACAATAGTCCAGTAAGGTACGAGAAAGCAGGGACCCAGACTTTCAGGGACTCCCTAGATCAGACAGCCTATGAGAGGCACTGCTAGGATTCCAATCCAGATCCAGGCCAGCTTGATCCAGGTCTATACTCTTAGCCACTATCCTATATGGGCTAATCTATAAAACTTGGAATTTCCCAACTCTGAAAGTCCACAAAAGTGAGGCAGGGAGGGTGTGACTGTCCACTAACAGTGCAAGGATGGTGGAGACCACTCTCATGACTCCATTTCTCCCAGACACGTAGGAATTTCTAATCTAAGGGGAAACTATTTCTGAGTGCTGAATTAGACAAGTGGAGTTAATGACAATAAAAGCTATAATATATATATACCAAACTGCCTCAAAGTCAAGCCTTGATTCATATAATACTTAGATCAACTCTGAGAAGCAGGTATTAAAACTCACTCCACAGATGAGGTGTCAATTAAAATGCTTAAGTTGGGCGCTAGAGGCACCAGTTCGTGGGAGAATCTGAAACCAAACCCAGGTCTGTAGTTCCGAATACTATGGTCCATCTGGCTATGCGTCAAGAGGATCCAAATCCAACTTGTGCCAGACCAGAGTTCCCATCTTTTTGCAGTCTCTACCCACTGTGGCCTGCAAGTAGCTCTGAACTGTACCTGAGGGATGTAATTACAGGAGTTTTACTGCATGCAAACATGGAAATTTATAACTTAATTTAGTTCACAGCATGCTTTATTCCAGAGAAGTTACTTTTTACAAATCAATATTGAGGGAAAAAACTGTCCAGTATTTCACCATCTGTCTTTCTCAACTGTCCCTTGTGACTTTTCTACCTATCTGCTGCAAAGTATTAACCTTGACTTTCTCCAGCATATAGACAAGCAACCTCCTTGGTCACTTGACAGGTAGCCTAACCAGAAAGACCTTGTTTTCATGAATTGAGAAAGCTTCATCTTATCCAGAGCATTTCTTGTTCCTTCCCTCCTTGAATGACCACAATGAATCAATCCCGAATGAAAGCTCCTCTTGTGGTCCTAGGACATGAAGGGGGGATTTTGTTTAAAAATTGTCCTGAGGGCATCTAGTACATGAGGTTGTCTAGTACATTAAGACAGTCAGAGGAATTACTCTCAAGCACTGGATTACAAAAGCCCCCTTCCTCAAAAGGAATAATACTTCGTGTCTGATAATTCCACTCAAAGATTGTTGTAGTATTTTGTGGGAAAGGATCCAGTGCCAACTATATACCAGAATCCCTGGTATATACCTTAGGTATACCAGGCACAGGACAAACATTTGTTACACTAATTAATTGGCAATTCATTTTCTCAGTTTGCATCAACGATCGGTGCTCCTTGAGTAATTACTCACCAATCGTTTCACTACAACCAACCATTAGTTCTTTGATGCATATTAAGTATAAAGCACAGGTCACAAAACAGTGCTTGGAGTAGCATCCCTATTTGTTTTCAGGAACTTTCTATGTGAAAAATATTAGGTCAATAGAAAAAGAGTTGTGAAGATGTTATTCATTGTTATAACTGGGCGATGGTTCTGGGGTGACTTTTATTCCTTTTGTTGATCTCTGTTCTCTGTATTTTCAACAAAATTGAGATCAACAAAATAAATACTAAAAATGCTTTTAAAATGCAAAAATTCTAAATCTGAAATTCTGTGTTTCCCCTGGCACTTAAGCCTTATACCCTCCCTATGCCACAGTAGTCCCCAGGCAGCCATCTCAGCTCGGCTATTATGCCCACTGCTCACTCAAGGCTGATGCCAATACAGGAACTTCAATTCCTGGGAAGAAGTTCTGGGGGGAAAAGGCAGGGGTGAAGAGGACCTCCCAATTCAAAGGTACTAGCCCATGTCTTTTGGACTCTGAAGTCCTCAGCCTCTGAGTTGTACAACATCACCCTGCCTCAAGGTACTACCTTTGGAGAAACCATCCACTCTTGTGCCTATGCTGGCCTTATCTCCCCTTTTCCTGCTATCTAATTCTAATAACTGAGGGCAGTCCCTGAGGAAGACCTCCCCCTTAGCCAAGCCCTCATTTGTTGTGGGGAATAAGGTTTTAAAGGCCAAGCTTTTGTGGAATTCAGCACATTACTGAGCTTTTGCTCAGACCAATGTACTGACCAAGAGTGGTTACTGCTCCCTCCAGCCTTGGCAATAAATTCTGCCCAGTGTAATGTGAACCTGGAAGCAATTCCCTGATGCTGGAGGTTTACTCAGAATGCATAATCATAAACATGCCCAAGAGACTCCAGCTCACTCTGCAAAAGATTTCTTGGTGACCTGAACTAAGACTTTAGCCATCCCTAAGCCACAGTCCCATTCTCTGAAAATACAGAAATTGGCCTTGCCAGCATTTTTCAACATGCAGAAGTGTCCTAGCTAGTTATTTCCAGAACTTCCCAGACCTTGCTGAGGAAGATCAGCTGGGGTAAACAGCCTCAGAATAGGGCAGAGTAACTCCACCCCTGCTTGTTTCACAAGCAAGACATGAGAGCAAATATGTCATAGCAGCACTGCTCTCCTACTCTGGGACTAGAGCAGGCGGAAGAGCTGTGGAGGGGACAATATGATCTCTAGAGAGGCCAGCTAATCTATTGTCCAAACTGGGACATTCTGGAAAGTGAAAAGGGGAGCTATTAAATTCTATGTCAAGATAACAGATGGTAGGCAGGAATATCCCAGACAAACCAGGATGTGTGGTCACCCCAGAACACATCTCCCATTCCTGTTACAGGTTAGAAAGCTGCTTGCTGTTCTCTCCCTGCATGTGTATGACTAAAGAAAGTCTAGTTTCCAAATAAAACCGAGGCCTCATTGAGCAAGCTCCCTGGCATCCCAGGAAAAGAAAGAAGAAATTATCACAGGAACCACAAAATGTGGGCAGGGCCCTACATGTCTGCTCCATCACTGCATTTCCTGGGCCAAGACAAAGCTTGGCAGGGAGTAGGTCCTCAGTGAGTGTTTGCTGAATTAATGAATGAATGCCTGAACAGAGTTTCTCAAGTCATCAGGAGAACTGCAGGTGACCAGAGATTTGGCAATCCAAGTTAACACTCTTACCTAAACTAGGTATGTTAGATAAACTAGGTAACATTTTAGGATTGACCTCTGAATTGTTATAAAAATATAAGGCATTGCATAGACTGCATTTCCCTTTGGTGGAATTTAAAAATATGCAAAGTACAAAGCTTTAAAATGCCAGATTGAACTGAAACTGTAAGTTTCTATAAATAAATGGACTGAATTTCAGCTAAACTAGCACAATTTCCTGCCATATTTCCAAGATGAACTTACTCAAACTTTCATTGGCCAAACTGGGACTGAATGAAGCAAATGCTTACCAGACACAACAGAATTCCTCTAACCACATTCTCACAGTATGTAAGTTCTCTGAGAAACAGCTGTCATAAGGAAATGAGATTTGCAAGAGATGTAGCAAGGAAGCATCTGAAGGCAAATAAGGAGCAGCGGGAGAAGGCAGGCAGGGCTTTCAAACCATGACGCAGGTCAAACACCTGGAAAAGGAAGAGGGGAAGTAAGATTTGCTGGAGGAGAACCTCAGGGTGGGCATAGTTCCAGGAAATTTCCAGCCAAGCTGATGGGGAAACTTGGGGTCAATCTGCCTGGAGGAGGCGTGTCACCTGCTACAGGAATGGGCCTGTCATATCCAGTGCTGGCTGGGAACAAACACAGTGATGGAGCAGGAGCTCTAAGCAGCATGTGTTCGGGGTCATCACACATTTTTCAGAATAATAATTCCCCATGGAGTGGCTCATGTTTTCTGTGACTCCAAACAGGCTCTGTGAAATTATACCAACCATCAGCTAAAAACTCATAGTAGCATGAACCAGAGACACTTTTTGGGGGGCGGGGGCGGGAGGGGAGGGATTGGGGTCAGAATGGGGGGGCTGCAATCGTATGGGGAATATAAAAATAAAATTTATTATTTAAAAAAAAAAAAAACTCATAGTAGCTAACAAGCAAGCTATGCCACCACCATCTTTTCTTCCCAAGTGCTATTCAAAATAAAATTCTGTCATAGATTTTTCAATCAATGGCAAAGCTTTTATTTAAAAAATAGAAATCTATTCTTTCATTTAGATACATCCAAAGAATCACGCTCATCCTGGGCAGCCCACACAGTGGCTGTCCAGAAGTCCTGAAGAAGAAGGCATTTGATCACCATCATCCAGGAGTAAACTCTTTGTAGGGTTAGGTTTTGAGTTCTCCGTGCTGTCTTTGGCCAATCAATGACTGTAATTTGGGTCCAGAGGTCATCCAAGGTAAGCGAGGGTTGAGGCAGCCTTAACTCATACCCAGATGGCACAGCTTCCGCAGAAAGGCTGGTCCACCCCAGTAACCCCTGTAAGAAATGACACAGAAAGACATTGGAGCAGAAAAATGCAGATGACTTCAGCCTGTAGGATACTGCAAGGAAAGCCAGCTTGTTCACAGAGCATACTTATCACACTATAAAGCAAGATCTATCTAATGAGATAGAAAGAGCTGATGACTAGGAGGGGACAACCTACTTGAATTCTAGCTTTGACGCTGACTTCCTATGTGAGTCTGGACATGCTGATGAAGTTCAGCAAACCTATACGAATGCTGCACTACATACAAATTGCAATCCTCTCTACTTTCACTTGCTTATAAATGAAGTATAGATCGGGGTTTCTCATTGTCAACCTTACTGGCATTTTGGACCAGACAGTCCTTTGTTATAGGGTACATTATAGGATGCTTACCAACACCCCTGGCTTCTACCCACAAGATGCCACTAGCATCCCCTCCAGTTGTGACAACCTAATATGCCTCCAGGTATTGCCAAATATTTTTGGGGGGCAGGGAGGAGGAATAGGAAGGTGGGGCAAAATCACTCCTAGTTGAAAACCACTGATATATATATCCTATCTCACCTCTCTCATAGGGGTTTGGAAAAGTCAAGAAGAGACTATCATTTTTAGGGAACTAACAAGGGAATTATTTTTATTACTTGATTTACTTATTATATGCCAACTATGCAACTTTCCCTTTATATGTTATCTCATTAATCCCCATGCTGTGAAGCAAAGAATATTATTTTTAATTTGCAGATAAGAAACTCAGATACAGAGGGTTTAAATAACCTGCCTGAGGACACACAGCTAGTAACCAGCAGAAGCATGACTCAAGCACAGATCTGACTCCAAAGCTTATGCTCTTAATCACTATGGTTCATTTTCCCTATCACATAATAAATTAAGGTCACAGATGAAAAAGCATTTGATGTATAAAAGTGATATTGTTGTTGTTGTTGTTGTTGTTGTTGTTGTTATATTATTTCAGCAGCAACAGAGGGCCAGAGCATGGAAGACAGAAGTCTTGACCACTGCCAATAACAAAGAATAGAGGCTACAACCCCTGTGGGTGGTACATGTGCTACAGCTCCCTTCCTCACCTAGGGGAGCCTCTTTCTCACTGAGTCTGGCTGAGAGTTCAGAAGCCTTTGCTGCTGCCATCACCAATCCATGGGACATGGTAGAGCAAGGTAGGTCCCATTCACCAGTCCTGCTTTAGGGTCATGATCTCTCCTGATTAGCAAGGCCTCCTTGAAAGAACTACCCTGCAGAAGCTGGTGAAATATGCTAGAAGATACACCCCTGCCCAAGCGGCACACTTACCTTAGCATCATATTCCAATACAAGATAGGCATCAGGTCAGCCTTCATGAGATACATCGAAAGTCGCTCTTTACCCTGGTCAAAGGGGAAGGTTTCCAGTGGCTGAGCATTGTAGTCAAACTCCGCAAGAATCACACGGCTGTAGCCAGTCACCAATGGACACGATGTATAGCCATCATACTAAAATTTTACGAGACTGAGTTGGAAAGTGACTTTTTTATCATGGTGTTTAACACTTCAGAAATTAGTATTTACTCTAAGAAGTTGCATTTTTTTTCTCTAAAATTTGGTATACTCTAATTTCTATACAGTAAAAAATGAAAATTATTTAACAAAAAATATACTAAAGGCAAAAATTGATGTGCCCATATTGAAGAAACTGATTAAGAAAGAAAGTTGCAATATTGTGGGCTAACACTGGTTTCATGAATAATGCAAAATGATCATTGAGATACTGATTTTACAAGGCATACAAACCTTCTTCCTTGGTGTTTGATTCTTCATAATCAAAGAAATTGTTTTTTCAAGTATTCCTGACTGGGCAGCTACAAGAGAAATGAAAATGTCAGAAAAATATAAGTGTCTAGGTTTTCCATGAAAACTAATTTGCCAATGATTTAAATGTGAAAGAGTTAAAAAGGCTTCCTCCATTCCCCTTCTCGCTAGATTATAACTTACTACTCTTTTTATTACTCAAAGCTCTGGATACCAGAGGAGTTCCTCAACTCATCAAAAGCCCACACAGATGTCTCTGTCAGTCGAAACTGAAGAGTCAGTTTCCTCCAACAGGAAGCCTGGCAATTTCAAACAAGGGGACTGCAAGTGTAACCATACCCTAACCACAATTCCCCTCTACCTAGGGGTCAGTTGTTATCAACATGGTCTGTGTACCCAGAATCCCTTAGCTCTCCAGGATGTCCCTGTTTGCCTGTTTAGACAACCTACTATATTCAACCAAGTATATTCAGTTAGACAAAACACTGAGCTTCCCTTCATACTGAACTCCCTGGGTAAGACAAGATACAAACATAGATAGGCAGATGAGACAAATGATTGACTGATAAATGGATAGATGGATGCATGCATGCATGAATTTTGCTTTCTGATGGCAAAAGTGAGAGGCTACCTTTTTTATTATGAAAATTTTCAAACCCTGTCATCCCTATTTTATCTATCCCATCATACCTGCCCCCATTTTTTTCTGGAATATTTTTACAGCAAACATAGTAACTATTCACCCAAAAATATGTCTGTCTTGTCTTTAAAAAAAAATTAAGGACAAACATAACAGCATTTTTATTCCCAAGATTACTAGCAAGATTTCTTTCATATCATCTAATCCCAGTCTGTGTTCAATATTAAATAACTAAGACTGTACTTTTAAAGATACAAGCAGTTTGTGTCTCTAGAGGTAGATGAGAGGATTTACTTTTGAGGATTTTACAGGTTACCTTTATATTGTAAAATGCTCTTTAAACTATTTGTTTAAACTATTTATTTTGCATACCCAAAATCAGAGGTCAGCATATTCTTTCTGTGAAATGCTTTAGCCTTATAGACTGAGCGGCAAAATCATATATTATATGAGAGAAAACAAATTCTAAAAAAAAATCCATATTCACAAAACTCACAATATAGTAATGAATTGAGAACAGAATGAGAATAGGAAACTTTTTCTAGGATAACAAAAGAGTTAGTTTCCCTATCATCAAATCAATTACAAATTGATTTGTAATTTGTAATTGATTTGTCCATCTATGAAATCATTCTTGAGCAGCAGTACAAAAATGGGCAACAGGCTGCATTTTGCCAGGAGGCTATGGTTTGTTGATGCCCAAATCCAAAGCACAATAAATTCTGTTCTGGAATGAAGGGTTTACAAAATATGAGGAATAAACAACTCTGCTTAAAACTATTAAATGGGTGTCTTCATTGTGGACAAGGTAACATATCAAAAGGTATGTGGGCAAGGTAACATACCAAAAAGTATGTTAAACCTGTTAAACCAGGAAAACTCTGTTCTGTTGGGGGACAGCAAGAGTTGAGGATCTTTGTGTCATTCCTCTTTGAGGACATACAGTTTGGAAGCTGCACTGAGAACACCGGAGGAGCCCCCTGCAGCAGGGCATCAAGGTCAACAGAGAAGACACCAGTGGTGGCACCTGCAGAGAGGTCAGGCCCATGACCCGGAAGCCATCACACTCAACACACAGGTTAAAGGTGTACGGGTATGAGGGCATCCGTGATTTTTAGGGAGGTTTTACCCTGTATTATAATTCCAGTCTGCAGTTAACTTTTGTTAAATGCCACCTCCTGGTCTCCATCATACTGTGGATAATTAAGGGAGAATCCTGGTGCAGAGAAAAGCAGAGGAAGAAGCATGAGCTGCAGGAAAGCCAGATGCAATGTAGCAAGACAATGTCTTGCCCACATAATACAGAGGTCTGGACTGAGGTAAGCATCGCCCAGGGATCCTCAGAGCAATAGAGAGGGGAACACAGTGAGAAATGTAGATCGTAAGGGGAAAACAAGGACTACTGTCATGCAGACATTAAAGAGAAGAGCAAGTAGCCTTTTGCATATAAAGTGACATAAAGACTGCAATGCTTCCTGTTTGAGATAAAAATGAGTTGAAAATAATACAAATATAAATTAAATGTGGACTCATTAATTTCTGGACCAACCAGAATTTAGAATACAGATTGCCAAAAAAAAAAAAAAAAGACAAGGGAAAGCAACGGGCACTCTACATGTTAAGGGGGGATATAGAAGCTGAGCGAATGCAAGGCAGGGTTGGAAGTAAGAGTTCTCTCTTCTATTTATTTAATTGTATTTAATATTATCTATTCAGAACATTAAATGAAATATATGTTTATTTAAAGAAGGTCAAAGCTGGGTAATCCAGGCCTTACAAATATCATAGGTTATTTTCAACATAAATTCAACAAAATTGTATTAAGAAAACTACACATACAGTCTATGTAAAAATCACAAAGAGCAACGATGCTTTAGCAGTAGAGAGAACCAAGCTTAATCCAGCAATGAGCTCCAGCTCCACGAGGACTTGACAAACTAGCAGGACAGACTCCTAAGCAGACACAGTGGGAGCACACAGCCTCGCGGACCGAGGGGCTTGCCAAAAAGTATACCCTGTGTCTAACCATAAGAAAACAACTAGACAATTCGAAACTGTGGCATACTCTACAAGATAATCAGCCTAGACTCTTTAAAAATGCCAGTGGCATGAAAGTTAAAAAAAAAAAAAAAAAAACCACTGTCAGAAAGCCTGTTCTAGATTAAAGGAAACCAAAGAGACATCACATCAAATGCAGTTCATGGTGCTTGACTGGCACATGATTTAAGGAGACAGTAGTGAGTAGAAAGGACATTTTTAGGAAAACTAGAGAAAATCTAACTGGATATAGAAGACACTTTGATAGTATAATGTCCAATTTCTTTAACATTATAATGGTCTTGTTGATAAAAAAAAAAAGAGAGTCCTTGAAGGCAAGTTGAAGTATTTAAGGGTAAAATATGATATCAAAACTTACTTTCAAATGACTCAAGAAATATACATAGAGAAATAAAGCAAATGTCAAAAAATACTAATTGGTTAATACCTAAATTTTTTCAAATTCTCCATAGGCTCGATTTTGAAATTAAAAGTTGGGGGTAATTACTATTGATAATAAGAAAGACATTCAGCTCGTTTCCAAGAAAGTGCTCCTTAGGCTGAAGTAGTCAGCGAAAATAATACATGTTCTGCCAGTGTGTAATTCACACGAAACACTACCATACCCAAGGGCCGGGAGCTCAGTGTTTTACAGTATCTGGAGGAGACAGTTCCTGTCTTCAGAAGACAAGATCTAAAAGGCAATTCTCCCCATCACTGCTAGTGCAGAACATCGAGGTAAAGAACTCAGTTTTCCAGGCTGAGGCCTTAATCGTGTACCAATCAGGGCACGCTCCACTGTATTTGTCTTAACAGAACAATTTTCTGCTCTGCAAGCTTTCATTGACTTGCATGTGTTTCCTCGGGAAATAAATGCTTCCTTGGCTTACCAAGTCTTTCAGACAGAAGAAAAATAGCCAACCCGCCTGGTGTCAGGAGCAAAGAAGGCCAGGGGTGCAAAGCAAGGCAGAGTCTGAGAAGTAACAGAATTCTAGAAAGCTTGAAAATCCCTCTCTCCCAATGTACCTCTCCTGCAAAGAGTCCCTCTGACCTAGAAAAGGCAGATGAGGTCATGCTACTATATTAGTGCAAAACGCTCAATAAACACTTTCTTTACACAGCACAGGGTTCACTGACAACTAGCCTCTGTGTCACCGAGGTCGAAGTCATTTTTAGGTCAGAAAGGTTTCATTATTAACCACTGCCATTTATGCCAGACTTTTGGTTTCGATATGCTGGTGCCTTCCGGTGACATCATTTGGAGAGGAGAAACAGAGCTTGTCATCTTACCTACAGCAGCAGCAGTCCTTGAAGTAGGAAGGTTGGTACAGTCCCCAATCCCAAACACATTGGGGTATTTCTTGTGCTGTAGAGTGTCTTTATCCACGTCCACCCAGCCAGCAGCATCAGCCACAGGGCTCGTCTTGAGGACATCTGGTGGGCTCATTGGTGGTGTCACATGAAGCATTTCATACTGCAAGAAAAGGACAGCATCCACATCATTTGTGTTCCTTCCAAGATTTCCACTGCTCGAAAAGCTCTCCACCATCTCCCTCACACATACCGTACGATGGCTGCATGCAGCACTAGACACTTAGTGCTTACACTATCCACACCCTCTCCAAGGTCTCACATGCTCCCATGCAGGCTAGTAACAAAGAACTACCAATCTCTCAGTTGACATGGTCTCCCCATACAGAGTCCATGTGATTTCTCTGGCATGGGAGAGATACCAAAGTGCATCTCTGTAGGACACAGTTTCTATGATTACTAATAGTAAGGGGACAGTGTATCTGAGCTGTTCTCTTCCTGACCCTTAGCTTTTGACTTGGAAAGTCTGATACCTATAAAGAGGTGCTCAGTCACTGAAACTTTTTAAGACCCTGTTAGGAGCTGGTAAGAGACAGCCCAATATGAGTTAACTCCCAAAACACACTATAATCCAAGAGGGATGCAAATAGCATCTTTCTTTACAACCCCTCTAGAAGAACAGAAACTATTTCTCTGTCCAAGTCCCGACCTGCAGCCTCAACTGTCCAGAGCATAGCCGAGCACTCAAGTTTAAAAAAGAACAAACAGCAAGTCAGTTCATGCTCTCAAATTGATACACTTTGCTCCTAAAATTATGCTTTGGACCCTCATGCATAGCCCATTTGCTTTCACTTTAAAATTTAACAAGTTTGGCTACCTCACTTTCTAGTCAATAAAAATTAGAAGCAGCAGTTCAAAACAGCTGAATCTGGAGGAACCTCTCAAAATATTTAAAACTACCTAACAGCCAAGAAAAAAGAAAAACCACAAAACGAGAAGTACAACTTTGGGGACAATTTATATACATTATGATACTAATAATAATATATAATATATGTAATACATAAAAATATAATTATATATACATGCAACATTTATTATGTAGTATTTACTTATATATTATTTGTATATAGTTTTAGTGGGTACAAATGATAAAGCAAATGGAATAAAATTCTATAGTAAGTTAATCTAGGTAAAGGCTATACAGACGACTTTATGCTATTTTATTTTTACAACTTCTCTAAGTTTATTTCCAAATAAAAGTTTTTAAAAACCATGACATGAGTCACCAGTGACATTTTAAATAACAGTCAATACTCTCCATTTAAAAAAGGAAAGTCATGTGCAATACATTTTAGAAAGAGCTCAAGAGAAAAAGCTTAAAATTTGAAGTTTTGATGTTTAGAAGATTAATCTGAGGCTCATTTCAAAATTCCTTTTTATGGAAACCTTCATTCTTCTACAAAGACCAAATGAGCAAAATGTCACTGCTATGTTTCATCACTGCTAACAGCGCTCAACAGGATAGTAGAAACAAATGATTCTGCCCACCATGCTTCATCCAAATGACTTGACATCTTGTCCTGACCCTCCCACACGTCTACAAAGCGTACTATTCCCACTTCACAGGAGAAGAATCCAGACACGGGGAAGCCAAGCCCACAATACGAGAGCTAGGTCTTTCCATATTGTGTGTAGCTCCACCAAATCTTTCAAGGATCTTTAAGTGCTTCATTTGAGGCTCGGGTGAAAGGTATTTAAAGACAGCCTCTTCCACAGGTGAGAGACAACCTGTCATTCTTGAATGATTCACAAGCACGGCTATTGCCCACACCCCACAAACTGAAATAACCACCAGATCCCACGATTAAGGAAGCCCCACCTGAACTCTGGGCTGTAACTAACAATGTGAAATATTTTTGATTGCTTCAAGTGACTCAGAACCAAGAAAAGTAGAGACACAAAATAGGAGGAAAATTCACTTGGTACTGGTAAAACGCCCTCCTCACCTCCCATGAAACAACCTCTTACCTCTTTCTCCTCCCCACCCATTTTCTCCAGCTAACACTAAGATGCTCACTTTAGCCAGCCGCCCCCAGCACATGATGATGGTGGCAAGGGAAGGCTGTGCGTCACCTGCACCATTCTGTTGACAGCTTAACCTCAACACTCACTGAAAACACTTGAGTCTCTCCAGGTTTGTCCAGATTTTCAAATACAGCCTCTTGTTTATCAGCTCGGACTTCAATGAGGTTTTGCTTGTAGTTAACAGTGAGGTTCCTCTCCCGGATGATCTCTTGCAGGGCATCAGCATACTTCTTAACCGCAAAAATCGTTCCAAGAGAAGTGTTGAAAATAATATTGGCCTTGGATCGCTTCCCTGTCTGAAAAAAAGAATAGAAACAACTAACACCAAAGCACTACTCCAACCATTCTTTTTTAACTGAAATAAGAAGTAAAACATTCGGAAGAGAAGTTTTTTCCACCACTAAGCCCTGCAGGGGTGAGGCATGAGCCAATCTTCCTCTTTATTTTTTGTTAGTGTAGGGTCAATGGTTATCAGGCTTTTCTGCCCTCCCGCCATTAGGATTGATGATGGATCCCCACGGTCTTGAATGCATGCCTGCTGGCGGGCACCTGGAGCAGGGTGTGAGCATGCATGGGTGGGTTCACCTGTACTGAGACTGGGCTTTTAGGGGCAGCGTCACTGGGACAGCAGCAGAACAGAGAGAGCGAAACAGACTAGGGGAACAGCAGAATAAAAGAGCAAAGGAGAGACCAGAACAAGAGAGAGAGCAAAGCCACGAGAGAACGCCAGAGAGCCCAGAAAGAGTGATGATTCGCTGGGGGCCGGGAGGCCTGCCAGCCTGCCGTGTACCTGGTACATCCCAACAAAAGCCTGAAAAAGCCACTAAGGGCTCCAGGACTCCTACTTCACTGGTCTGCCCGATCATAGCAAATCTGCCCCACCCCTTCCTGTCACTATAGTTAGCAACACAGGAACTCACATGCACACTTGAGTCGGGGGGGTGAGGGCACTTTTCAGCTGAACACAACTAAATTAGTATGGACAGAGGTGACGGTCAAGTTCAGGTAAAAAGAGAGAGGAACCTTTCAGTCACTCAATAGGTATCTAATGCAGTCCTAGAGTTAGCCAGGGACTAGCCAGCTAGTTGTAGGTGCTGAGGACACAGCAGTGAACGAAAGCTCCAGGCCCTTTGGTTCAAATGCACTAGTATTGCCCACATGTCTCAGAGAGGCCAGTGTTCTCCCAAATGCCTAGAAGATGGCACACCTGAACGAAAATTCCTCTCAGGCCATCCAAGACCTGGGAGAAAGAGTTACCCAAAGAGAATTTCCAGAAGGGAAGAAAACAACTATTGTCTTATTCTTTTCTTCTGTTCAGCTCTTTTATTTTTTTAAGTTCTTTTTCTTTTTTTTTTTTTAAAGATTTATATTTATTTATACAAGAGCTGGGATACAGGCCAGATGCGTGGGAGGGTGAGAGGATTCACCAGAGACAGAGCAGGGAACAGAACAGGCAGACTGAGGAAATACACTGCTGAGGGGAGCAGTGGGCGGGACAGGAGAGGTCTGCGCGCCATGTGGGATTCTCACCCGGCCGGGTCGGATGGAACCCGCACTGCAGAGGCTGCGGACAGCTTCACAGTGCGGCGCTCAATGGCCTGCACCACTAGGGAGGCCCTGTTCAGCTCTTTTAAGGATTTGCTCACTTGCTCACTCACTTGAACTATTTGCAAGAAGTTAGGTGGGGAAGAACATCAAAAGGCTATGGCAACCCAGAATTCTCATGACCCAGACTGGCCTTTCTTTGAAAGGGTGACTAGCACTGCCCCTGGATTTCCTGGGCTGGTGCAGACTTACACAAGTCTGGGCAGACTTATATAACCCCAACACCTCTTCAATCCCCCCTCCCCATAGGCTGATGAGAATTCAGCCACTGTCTCAAGTCAAACCATGCTTGGTAAGCCAGAATGTCACATCCCACACAAGGGCCAGAGGGTAAGAACAGGAGGGTATGCCGTACCCCTGGCCCCCAAATTTATAGCAGACATACTTGACCTGCAGAAGCTGGCTCTCACACACAGGGTATTTGAGGGATGCTCAGAAACCTGCCTCTACCTGAGTATCTCCACTGAGGATTGAAGTTCTACATGAACACTTTTTTTTTTGCCTTTAGAATTGACTTTTGCCAATTACATTTTCAAAAATGTTTATCAAGAGCCAGGAAATATTCATAGCCTTGAACTTGAATAGGAGCAGCTGAAAATACTATTATTTATAAGAATGAACAACTTGCAACTAATTGCCTATATGGACATATGTAAACAATTAGAACACACCCTCTCGATAGACTTTTATATATTAAAAGGTGTGATGCAAAAAATTATTTAATACCATTTACATCTAAATTAGTATGGACAGTATGATTATAACCATGTTTTAAAAGGGTATTGAGGGCCTCTCTGGTGGCGCAAAGGGTTAAGTCTCAGCACTGTGAAGCTATTCCCAGCCACTGCAGTATGAGTTTGATCCCTGACCAGGGAACTAAGCTACATGTGGTGCAACAGACCTCTCCTATCTTGCCCGCTGCTCCCCTCAGCAGTGTACTTCAGTCACTGAAATCTGCCTGTTCTGCTCCCAACCCTGCCTCTGGTGAATCGTCTCATCCCCCTATCTCTGGCCTACACCCCAGCTCTTGCATGCATAAATAAATAAAATAATTTAAAAAAAAAAGTGTATAGAGGGCCTCCCTTGTGGTGCAAGGGGTTAAGCACCGCACTATGAAGCAATCCACAGCCTCTGCAGCATGAGTTCGATCCCAGACGGCCAGGGAGCAACCCACATGGCGACACAGATCTCTCCTGACTCGTCCGCTGCTCCCCTCAGCAGTGTACTTCGGTCAATCTGCCTGTTCTTTTCCCCACTCTGTCTCTGGTGAATCCTCTCACCACCTGCATCTCTGGCTTGTACCCCAGCTCTTGTATGCATAAATAAATGAATCTTTTAAAAAAAAGTGTATAGAAAAAAATTAGAAAGACAGGTCAAATTGATAATAGCAATTATATTGAAGCAATTGGACTAGGAATGACTTTCTCCTTTTTTTCTATTTATAAGCTTCCAAACATATAATTTTGTAGATATATAATAAAGATTTAGATAAAAAAGGAATCGTGGCCCTCTGAGTTAGCATCATCTGCCCTCCCTGTCTCTGTCCCTGGAAAAGTAAGAATACCTTTCTGAAATAGGCTTCCGATAAATACATGATCTTCTGTGGGGCTCCAGCACACTTTATCGGAGTATTTGGGAAGGTAAAAATGGCATTGCCCTCTTTGAAGTCCTGCAGAGCTTTCCATGTCTTCTCCACTGTCTTAACTGAGTAATTGGACCCTATTTTTGGATGGGCAAAACCTTCAGGTAGGCCTTTAATCTGCAACAAAGCATACAAAGAAATTATTTTTTTAACAGATATGCAAATGGCTTTGGAGTCCTAGTTCTTTGCTATCCCTACAACCCTCCTAATATCTCCATCACCTTTTCATTCCCAGTACTCAACACAGTGGAGCAGGCAGATGGATGGGGGGTCTGCTAAGACCAGAACTGTGGTACCTGGAGTCACCTGTCAAACTGCAGAAAGGACTTGGCCCAAGGGAACCCTCCCCCCTCCCTTGGTCTTGAGGCCCTACAATGACTATATCCCCACCAGAAGGAGGACAATTTATTTCATCTGTCCATCAGAGTTAAGGACAAGAAGTCAGCCATACTTCCTTTTTGAAGGACCAGTTGCCTTACTAGGATGGAGATCTATAGTAATAGCACAGGTTATCAGTAATAGCACACTTAAAATACCCTTTTCAAGTTGTAACAGATCAAATTCTTAGATCAGGAGATCAGTTAGATCAGTTAGATCAAAACTGATGCTTGTCTTAAATGTTAGAAGGTTCATGGAGCACAGTAATGATGGCACAGATTGAGTTAAGAAACTCACATACCAGTTCTTCCAGCAACAGCAGGGAACCATCAAAAACCAGTCATCAGCCTGGGCTGGTTCTTCAGAAGGTCCCCAGGCTAATCTCCCAGTGCTCGGGCAACCACCTCCAGAGTCACAGATACCCATCCCTCAGGTCTCAACAAAAGAAAGTCCTGTGATCTCCATGACACTCAGTGTTGAGAGCAACTATCCTCTGATTACTGATCAGAGATCCCCGTTTGTTTAAACCCACCTGAGTAACTTCCTGGTATTTACAATCAAAGGGTGTCAGCTAATACAATCGGCCCTGGTAATGTATTTACATTCTCTTGCCCTCAGTTTTCTCACCTATTAAATTGAGATAAAATATCTACCTTGAAAGCAGTTGTGAGGCATACTAGCAAGGTTCCCAGGAAAGCACAGAATCTCCACAATAATAGTTACTTTAAAAGGGTTTATTTCTTGGTTTGCTGCAAGAGGCTGCTTAGAACGCTCAGTCTGGGTCTCTTCAAACAGCCCCTCACACACACTGGGCCTGCTGGGGACACAGCAGCAGGGAGATGCACTCTTTGCTAAGTCAACACAGGCAGGAGCATGAGAGGCATGGACACCTTCCAAGATCTAACGGCACCATTCTCCTTGGAGTCTACTCCACTGTCTGTTTCAGGAGAGTCAGGGCCGATACCATCACTCAAACCCGCCCCAAACTTCACACCAATTCATGGTTACTTTGGACCTTCAGAGAACATAAGCCAGAACCTTTCATTACCCTCATCCTGGACAAGTCGTGATTAAGGGGTTTTTGTTTTTGTTGGTGGGGGGTTGTTTTTTAAAGTAGAAACGTATGTCAAAGGTGTTATGAGCCAACTCAGATGAGGACTCTGCCTGAATCACCGTCCTGTAGCTTGTGACTTGGTTGTCACTCTGCTTTATGTGGTACAATCATTTATCCACAGTCCCCAACAAGCTTCTGGAAAAACATAATAATTACTGACTTGCTCCATTATGTTTTAGAAAAATAAACTGGGATCTCACAATTGTCAGATAACATCTAGACCCCAGGCTCACTGAAATGGGAGATCTACTTCTAAGATAATATCTACATTTCATTGCTCATTTCATAATACCAGAAGTTCCAGCCTCTACATAACAAAACCAGACACCCTTCCAGTGTGTGAACTAACTTCTGATAATGAACTAACCCCTGAGGTCTGCTTACAATTTCACAATCTAAATATTACTTTCAAAAGAAAATTTAATCTGTAATAGGCCAACTCAGTTCTGCTTAGAAAGGGAGTTTTCTTGTTGGTATGGAAAAGACTGCTGTTTTTTGATAATTAACATTAGAGTATAAACATGTTAACTCTCATTATAACATAAGACTAGAACATTAACATTGGCAAAATCTTAGGAATAATAATTTCATGACAACAAAAAGACTGCAGAGAAGTAAAACTAAAAGTGGTTTGTTAGAACACTTTCTTATCAAAATGAATATACAGCACTAAATGCAGCTTTTGATCTTGACATAAGCGGACAAGTATATCACAGAAATATTTTAAAACAGGGCTTCCCCAGTGGCACAGCAGTTGAGCGCTGGGCTGCGAAGCTGCCTGCAGCCTCTGCAGCGCCAGATCAATCCCCGGCCACCAGCGAGGCTCCCACATGGCACACAAACCTCTCCTGCTGCACCCACTGCTCCCCTCAGCAGTGTACTTTGTCAGTCTGCCTGTTCTGCTCCCGGCTCTGGCTCTGGTGAATTCTCTCACCCTCCCATGCTTCTGACTGTACCCAGCGCTCATATAAATAAATAAATAAATCTTAAAAAAAAAAGAAAAGAAATATTTTAAAACAGTACCTTCTCATAGTCCAACTGGATTCCGAGAGCAATAATAAGATATTTGTAGGATATCTGCAACACAAAACAATGTTATTTTAGACCAGAATCTCAAAAGTGGCAGCCCAAGGGCTGACTTAGGCCCCAGACTTGCTCAGCCAGTACCAAGTTTCTGTTTTTGAATGAGTAGCCGGGGGCTCTGGGTGGTGGGCAGGGCTGCAGGGCAGGAGCACAGCCCAGGCAGCCATCCTGACCACATTCTCTGTTGTCTCATACCTCACTGCATCACAAATCTATGTAACCTGCCTGGTCCCAAAGAGACTGCGGAGAATGATAGCAAAGAAGTCACAGTTATTGTGCAGTGCTTCTGTTAACACTCTTTTGTGTTAAAGGGTGCAGAATGACTTCCTAATCATAAAAGACAATAACATTTCTTTAAAATATATGGGGGGGTATAAGCAAATCGGACCTGCCATATGGATTGGATCACTATCATAACAGAGTAACTGCTCTTTTGAGAGTAATGAAAAAGAATGTGATATGCTAGATCTAATCCTATTCAATAATCTGTTTGGAACTTAAAAGTCCCCTGTTTAAGGAAGGATGTTGTGATTACTCAAGCTGAGGAGAACATATCTACACACATTGTGATAGAAATAGGAGAAATGTAGGGGACCAAATAAGGGACCAGGAAAAAAAAATTATTATATTAAAAAACAAAATTAACAGGCAACTATTGATCCAAGACACTCTGCAGGGAAGGGGGAGGGAGAGGGATCCAAACAGGGGAGGCAATGTGTTCTTACACAAGGGACCATGGTGATGGTGCATGGGTGAATTGGTGATGGGAATTTTGCAGGGGCTACACCCGAGAGGAGAGAGCATGCATTGCACAAAAAGGAAGAACGATGTAAAAAATACATAAAATTAAATTATTTAAAAAAAAGAAGAAAAATGTGGGTTTTAGGATGAGGAGTAAGACAGACTGAGGCCAGGAAGTGTAAACAAGAGGGATGCCAAGTAAAAGGACCAGCCTAGAAAACTGGAGATGGTAAATGATCAGTGAAACTCCAGATTCCAGAAAGGGGCAATAGGCACTAATAGCACAGTCTTGAACTAAATGGAGAAGCAGAGCAGTGAGCTCAGCAGATCATAATTGAAGAGAAAAGACTCCAAGTCCTGAGAGAGCTTGGCTCAGACTGGGGGACCCAGGGGAGAAAGTCGTTTAAGAGGTTCTGCCCTAGAACCCAGGAGACTCAGCTCCAAGGTCACCTCCCTAGTGAAGCCCACAGGTCCCTCCGGGAGCGCCCTTAGCACAGTACATGAAGCTTTATAGCACCTGTCATGTTTATGGGAGTCATGTCATCTTCTACATCAAAACACTCCCAGAGGATAAGGGTTATGTCTTATTCCTTATATTCCTAGAATCTAGCACAGTCACTAAATTAAGTGAGGAACTTAGTAATGGCTGGAAGGATAGAAGGATCGATAATTTCAGTTGCTTGAAAAAACATAATTATTTAAAGTAGAAAGATAATATATACATCTGCATCTGTGTGATTTGCTTATCCATAGAGAGTTGGTGCCCTAGAATGTCTTGTTCTATAGGAAAGTATACTGGGATCATTAAATAGCTTAACTGTGTTGAATCTTCAGGGTATGTGAGGTCAGAGGTGGCATGGGGACTGGGGGAATGATCTACTGGTAAAAGATACAACCATCATCAACAAGAAATGCCTTTGCTTTGTCCGTGCCTTGATGGCTTTATTAGAGCGTAACATAAAATCTGACACTAACAACTTAATTAGGATATTCATCCACTGCAAAATTCCAGACTCACCCACTAAATAGCTATGTCTTAGTAAATTGATAAAAGGATGAGCGTGAACACAGCTTCACAGATTGCTAATAATATTTCTTGAGCATTCACTCTGCAAGGCAGAATTGCATGTTTTAATTCTTTTAATCCTCACAACTAAAAAGGATAGGTATTATTTCCTACCCCTCCAGGAACTCAGTCTAATGGGAAGCCAGGCATTACCGATAATCACACATATAATTACTAAATCACAGAATGTTGTGATAGCATGTCAAGAGGGAACCTGACCTAGTCTAGTTAGACCAGGGACAGCTTACCTGAAAAGGTCATATATATGCTAAATATGAATAAGAGTAACTTAGAAGAAGCAAGTACAGCATGTGCAAATGTCCTGAGGAATGAAGAGGCAGAGACATTTGAGGGAATGAAAGGCCAGTACACTGGAGCAGAAACAAGAAGCAGGTTAAGTCTGGAGAAGGAGCAAGGCCCAGTATATGCAAGGTAGATGGGATATGTTCCAGGCAAACAGATCTCTGGGTCAGAGAAAAATTAGAAACAGGCCAAGTCTGGGTTTCAGCAGTGCCTTCAACTCAGTCTTTCACACTGTTACTAGGATCAGAAATTATAAGCTAAGATGGTATGATTTGATAAATTTTATTTTATCTTTTTTATTTTTTTTATTTTTTTAATTTTTTAATTTTTTATTTTATTTATTTATTTATTTATGGGGGGGGGGCGGGACCCTCGCCAGCAGCCGGGGAATGAACCGGCGCTGCAGAGGCTGCAGGCAGCCTCGCAGCCCAGCTTTCAACTGCTGCGCCACCAGGGGAGGCCCTGATTTGGTAAATTTTAAAATACATGCTAAAAAATATTGGTCAATTTATACATGATTTTACAAACATGTTACAGAAGTAAAGGCTGGAACTGAAGTGAGGTCATCATGGATTAAGTTAGGGGGAAATGCTAAAAAATAAAGAAGGATAACTTGTCAGAGAACACCTTAACCCTGGGACAAGTAATTATCAACCCATTTTAAATTCAACCCCAACCCCACATGCCCCAGTCCCAATTACTCAACTCTTTTTTTCCATAACATTCAACAATTTCTAACCACTATCTAATTCACTTATTATGTCTATTATGTATTGTATGTTCTCCCCCCACTATAAAATAAAATCCAGGATAATAAGGATTTTGTATGCTTTGTTCACTTTAAGACTATAACTAGCTTATAGCAGATGCTTAATAAATATTTGGAAAGGAAGGCAGGAAGGCAGGCAGGAAGGCAGGCAGGCAGGGGCAAGTGAATGCAGGCCAGAGAGCCAAGGATCATGAATGCTGTAAAGCAGGTAACCTTGATCAGGCTTCACAGAAAGGATACAATGAATCTCTGAATTCCTTGAAATTAAGTGCAAAATTTGGAACATATATACACATTTCTAGAGAGGACTTTCATCAGGTGCTCAGAACAATCCATTACCCAAGGAAATGTTAAGAATGTCTGAGGCCAATGAGTCCCTGCTTAGAGGAAGGGGTTGGGATTCCCACTGACTCTCAGATTCTACAATTCTGTCAAAATGCTGGTGTGCCCCCTTTGAAGCAAAAGCAGGCAGGATACTGAGGCCCATAACATGCTTGGGGCTCAAGAACCACAGGAACTTGGACCAGGCAGGGGACAGCAGGATGGCTGTACTGCCAGCCACTGTCTTCGCGCAACAGTAAAATGAGGGGACAGGACACCACAACCTTTCTCCCTATCCTGTTCTCATCCTCTCAGACACACAAGGGACAGCAGCTGCTGAAAGACTCTAATCCCTGGCAATCAGGGTGAGGAGCAACTTCTAAATGGGGCTGAGCAATAGTGAGCCTCTGACTCCAGTCTCAGCAATTCTCCTTAGGCCCCAGCACAAACCTCAGGGTCCCAGGATTCCCTTACAATTCTGGCATAGTGGCCCCTAGTGTGACTGGGTGGATATTTCCCAGTATCCCCTTCCTCTGGGAGGCCTACCGTCAGAGAAGCTGGCAGAGATGGCTGGTATTTTACCATGAAGTACTAGTACTGAGAATCAGATGCAAGATATTTTACCAAGCAATAGGGCAAACAGATGGTGTTCAATAAATACCTATCTTAGTTGTTCATTTATTAATCCCACATCACTCAGTCCTTTCTCTAATCACTATACACCTTCCCATCTCATGTGGTATTCAACACATACACATACGTGCACACACACATATACTGCCCTCTCACCATCAAGCCGCCTGGTTGGTAATGACGACATTAATACAAGCCCTCAGGTTAACAAAAGCCAAAGGGCCCTCACTGGGTACCTCCTTGCCATTGTCTGTGCGGATGCAGTTCTTGTCTGGGTTCAGCTCAGCCACTCTAGCTTTGATCCATTCTACACCAGATGGAATCACAGTTGCTGTGGGACGCCCAGATGAGGATAACTGCTTGGCACCAGCACCCACCAGTGTCCAGATTGGCTGGTAGTAATGACTCTGAAAAAGAAAATATTTAGAGATTTATTCTTTTGGGGACTGATCAAAAGGGTCATAGTTAAAGGCACACTCTGATGGTTAAAGCTATACTCTCAATTACTCCCTCCTTATCCACAGAAAATTCTCCAGAAGCTTGGTCACACCCCACGCACACACTAGTCGGTGTCTACTAAGCTCTGAATAGCAATCACCTAACACAAGAATTCTGAAAGATGATTAAAAAAAAAAAATACACTGTTTTTACAGTCCATTGTATTCTTTACTGCTGAAAGTTGATTTGGTGTTTAACATGTTTTATATATACGCTCATAATATATAGCTACCTTTAAGTGCACAGATACAAAGAAAAATTAAGCCCAGTAGTCTAAATATGATTCCTCGGAAATATGAGGTGAATATGATAAATCTGGTTTTCAGGCATTTCTGGGGACCCTTGAAACTTCCATATTGGCCCCTCTTCTTTCTCAGAGCTTTTACATCCCCAGCCAGGAAGCACCAGATCCTACGCATAAGACAGGCCAACTTCTGTTCTCTGGAGGCACTGCTTTGATGGTCCACTCTTGATTGAAAGTAAAAGTTCTGGACCCAAGGGCAAAGGGCAGATTGGTTTAATGTTCTCTGAGAATTCCAACTGAGTCTCCACATTGCCAAAGTGCCTCAAACTGGCTGGACAAAATTGCCAACACACACTCAGAGGTGAAGGAAAACCTTCACATTTTCCCCTCCAGCCAAAAATGGTATGATCAAAGAGGAGGGGGCAGAGGTCCCCAGTTGTGACAGTTCATTGATTTCAAGTCTGTTTTGAAAAGGAAGAGGAGTGAAAATACAAGCACACACTGTTTTTAGACCAGGAAGAAAAATCAGCCTCAGCAATCACGAAAGCAGACACTGGAGGGAAAGCGGCAAATACCTTAGTCTCTGGCAGATCCTTGGAGAGACTCCACATTCATTTCTTGTGGAGCAGGACAGAAGCAATTTTGGCCTCCTAGTTTGGAGGTCAAACTAGGGAGACTTGCCCCAGTGTTAGTTACAACACACCACTGGTCACCTGATAAAGCTTAGACCACTGTCATTTAAAAGATTGTCTGAATCAGTCATTTTAAAAGGAAAGTGATTAATCTTTGATAAAGGAGCTACCACCATACACTGGAAAAAGCAAAATCTCTTCAAGGTGCCTGAACTGCTCTGCCTTACCACCTGCCACACTTGCACCTGGGGATTAGAGCAGCCTCCTCTGCTGTGGTTCAGGAGCCCAGGTCCTCACCAAGAAAAAGGCCAAGTTTCCAGGAAAAAAAAAAGAAAAAAGAAAAAACACAAGGCCCGTGGGCCAACCATCTATCTACATCTTGCAGCAGGGGAAGAGGGGATGCAATCAGAGCAGGGAAGAGAGACAGAGGGGAGCTGGGTGGTGGTGCGCAGGTGGATTATTGGTGGGAGGGCCACACCTAATGGGAACAATAACTACAGAAAGATGACCCATAATGTAAGAAAATAAATATGTATTTTTTAAAAAGTAAAATCTCTTCAACAAATGGCACTGGGAAACTTGGACAGTCACAGGCGAAAAATGAAACTAGATCATTACTTAACTTCCTACACAAAACTTAATTCAAAATAAAGACTTGGATATAAGACCTGAAACTGTTAAAAATACACCTCCATGAAAGAGGGAGGAGCACTGAATAGGTGCTAGTTTCCCACCCCACTTACACCTAGCCACCTTGAACTACAAATCCCAGCAGGCCATGAACCAGATTTCCTGAACAGGAAGCAGGCAAGAAGCAAGGTGGATATATACATTTGGTGAAACAAAGGAGACACATGGAGGAAACATGGAGAGACACTTAGAAGAGACACGTTGGTGAGAGACACATGGGGAGGTTGCTCCTGGTCCCTGACAAGAAACAACAGCCGATATTTCTTTTGACTTCATGGTAGATTATGTGGTATATTATGAACTTTGAGTCTCTCCTTCCATCCCAGCTTTCTGGGACATGCCTAACCCCTTTCTTGTGGTTCCTTACCTACCAGAAGTTACCGTAGACTTATGGCAACAGAGAGAAGAGAAGTGCGTGGCCACTGACTGTCATCTGCACATAAGGTTGGAGGTGGGAAGGTTTTGTGGGTTGAATTGTCTCTTCCAAAAAGAAATGTTGAAGTCGTAACCCCGGTCCTGTGAATGTAACCTTATTTGGAAAGACGGTCTTTGAAGAGTAACCACATTAAAATGAATTCATGCTGAACTAGAGTAGGCCCAAAATCCGATGACTGGTGGCCTTTTAAGAAGGTCATGAGGAGTTACTGGTACAAAGAGAAGGTCATGGAAAGGTGGCAGAGATTAGTAGACAAACCAAGGAACACCAAGGATTTCCGGCAACCACCAGAAACTAGGAGAAAGGCATGGGACAAACACCCCTTTGCTCCACAGCCTTCAGAGGGAGCATGACCCTGCTAACACCTTTGTTTTGGATTTCTGGGCTCCAAAACTGCCTGGTTTAGTGACTGCGGAGAATAAATATCTGCTGTTTTAAGTCACCAAATTTGTAGTAATTTGTCATGGCAGCCCTGAAGAAACAGATAAGAACATAAAAGCCAAGAGCTTGTCCTCCCACCTCCCAATCTATTTGAATGGCCTGGTGTTTATGACCTAAAAGAAAGGCACTAACTTGGGGACATGAAGGCCCAATGCCTGACCCCACCCTACACACACACACACACACACACACACACACACACACACGGGCACTCCAAAGTGGGGCACTCACCTCACTGGGTTCAACAATAGCCACATTCTCTGCGCCCACTCTCCTCTTCATACGGGCAGCCATGGTGACCCCACCACTGCCCCCGCCCAGCACCAGCACCTCATAGTAGTTCTTGGCCATGAGGTTGGCCCCTGTGTGCAGCTGAAGTGGGCTGGCCTGCTGAGGACCCAGCCTGAGCAGGCAGGCAAAGAGCCGGGCGCGGGGGCCAGACACCACGGTGACCAGTGGGGACATCTTCAGGCTGGATCAGGCTAGAAAAAAATTAAAAAAGCTCTGAGTACTAAGGAAGGGACAACTATGGGACCAAAGCACTTTTTCTTTCAGGAAGGATAGGCTGGCACCTGGTCAGTTCTAGCTGGTTCCCATACCTTCCATCAAGACTACCTTCCATCAAGACCTTGGCTGTTTCCCCAAGATCTCCTGGCAATGCTCCATGGAGAGGTAAGAGTGGGCTAAGCTTTTCATTTCTTCCCCCACCCCCCCCCCACTTTTACAGGACATCTAGAACTTTGAATCAGGTCATCTTTAAAGTCTTCCTGATAACTTGTGTGTCCCCATCCTTGTCCGTCCAGCTATAATCCCGCTGTCACCATTCACCTCCAGGAACATTCCTTACTTCTGACTTTTCAGTTCATTAATGATATATGATTCCCCAGGTTGAGACCTGCACAATTCCTTGCCATAAAGGGCACCAAAGACCTTACTGAAACTGTAACGGGGGGGTCCCCAGGAAAGGGGGAGCTTCCAGGTTTCCTGCCCCACCCAAGGGAGGGTGGAGCTGAGCAGGGAGAGAAGAAGCTGCAGAGACTGAGGAAGGAAGCAGGATGGAGCCAGAAGGAGACCTGGAGGAGGCACTTGGAGCCTAGAGACACGTGAAGAAACTGCGCTTGTCTTTTGGTCGTGGACTGGGTGACACAGATGTGGGTGAGACCCATGGGGAGGTGACAATGGCAGCTTTTATCTTGATTTGATTTTGCTCTTTTCCTTCCAGACTTGTCTGGTTGTTTGTGACACTTTTCTGTGGGTCCCCACTGGAAGATGCTTTAGACTCGGGGCAGGCTTTGGGGCCTTGCTCTGGGCCAATCCCATTTGGATGGAGTTTTACCCATGAGGGGACGGGTAACTTTGGGTGCCTGATTTAGAAACTAGATTCTTTGCCTTTCCTGTATTGTTTCCTAATTGTATTAAAGTTCCTTCCCATTAAAGTCTCATGTTTTGTGTTAATGCGGCGGATGCCTATATAGAATAGGCAGGTTTGTGGGGTTTAGGCTGCCCCTCTCCCTGCCCTGTAACAAAACTACTAGACTACTGATGTAGTCCAGCAAGAAACTCCCCTCTTGCAACTCAGAGTTCAGACCACAGTAATTGGGGCCCTGGCCCCACCTGGAGTCCTCCTGGCTCTCTTGCCCAGAGACAAGCAATTTTATCAAATCACTGAGTATAAACTTGAAAGCGAAAGGCCTCCACATCTTTGGCAATTTCAACCAGATGATTAAAAAGGCCATAAAAAGAGGCCTGCTTGGTATCATAAAATTATATTTTATGTAAGAACCTATGCATGTTTCTGACCAGTCTCTATTATATTCAATTCAGTATACAATCTCCCCTAATAGTTCCTCTGAAAGACACACTTTACCTTTAGGAAAATAAGTTTCTGTGTGTTCTGACAATGAGAAAGGCTACTCAGGGGCTGGACCCATCCACAGACCTGGCCCGACATCTCAGATACCATCTACTTGTATTGAGAGGCCCAGACTCAAAATAGCTGCCCCCAATTCCAGCATCAAATTCAGTTCTTCTGGCTCAATAATGCTCTAAACCCTTTATTAAATTGCAAGTACCCAGCTTGCTAAGTCTTAACAGGAATGATTTAATTATATGATTCCCCCACCCTGGAAAAAGAAGACAGTTATACAAGAGGAATGGAGACAGGGGGAAGAGGAAAAGGCCATGAGAGGAAGAAGGAAAAGCCCTGGAGGAGTGAGAATTTACAGAGTAGAAAGGAGGAGCTGAGTGTTCATATTAAGATTTTATTAATTTTTGCATAAAGAACTGCGGTATAGGCCAGAGGTGTAGGGGGTGAGAGGATTCACCAGAGACAGAGTGGGGAGCAGAAGGCAGATTTACTGAAATACACTGCTGCGGGGAGCAGCAGGCAAGGCAGGAGAGGTCTGCTGCGCCATGTGTGAAGTAGCAGCAACTTGGCTGGGGACTGAACTCAGTCCTTCTCGGCGGGCCATCTCAGGGATAGCACTGAGACTTAACCCGTAGGCCATGGGAGGTCCTGAGCCTGAGTGTTCATTTTAATTAGGATTCACTCTATTCCACAATTTTGCACCACTGGTAATTTCCTCAATATTTCAGATCTGAAAAGAGCTGGGAAGAAGAGATTTGGGGGCCCAGAGTAAGCGGAGCAAACTCGGACACTGTTGCTGTAAGTTCAAAATCAATATGACCCTTTTAGAAAATAATTTGGCATCCTTTGATGCTTCATTTTCATTTCTAGGACTCTAGAGCAAGGAAAAACAACTCTATTACTGAAGAAGAAAAGTCCTGACAAATATTACTTCTCTCACATTCCTTCTTACAGTCAATTCTCAGCTAACTGGTTTGAGGGTTGGATATAATTAAACCTGGCTACAGAAAATATATCCACAGGCTCCAACCTGGCCAGGGAAGTCAGGTCACCAACTGTATTAACCAAGGTTAATTTACAATTACTTCGATTTAATGTAGGAAGGAGGGACAGGGATAGCATTCTGAAAGTCAAAACACTGGGACAAGGTTAATTAAAATGTGATTACAGAAGATGACTTATGTAGCCTTTTAAAATTATGTTTACACAGAGCATATAAAATGCTTATGTTATAGTCAGGGCACAAATCAGAAACACAATAGGACCTCAAACTATAAGAGAAAATGAATTTTTAGAAAAGATAACTAAAATGTTAATACCACTTCAGTTGTTTTCTCTGGGTTTCAGAATTATGGGTGATTTTGATTTCTTCTGCTTTTCTGCAGTCTGTAAGTTTCTGCTGTATGTATATTAACATTATAATATTAAATATTTGGGGTTTTTTGTTTTTTTTAAGATTTTTTTATGCATACAAGAGCTGAGGTACAGGCCAGAGATGCAAGGCGTGAGAGGACTCACCAGAGACAGAGTGGGGAACAGAAAAGGCAGACTGACTAAAAAACACTGCTGAGGGGAACAGCAGGCGAGACAGGAGAGGTCTGCTGCACCATGTGGGTGCTCCCTGGTAAGCCGGGGATCAAACTTGTATTGCAGAGGCTGTGGATTGCTTCATAGCGTGGTGCTTCACCCCTTGTGCCACCAGGGAGGCCCAATATTAAATATTTGTTTTTATGATGGCAACATATATTCAGTATCTGTCTGAGCACCTAACTTGTGATGGGCTGCCATTATCATTCCTATTTTACAGGTGAAAAACACTGAGGTGGGGAGTAGGTAAGTGACTCCCTAAGGTCATACAGCCTATAAGTGGTTACTCCAATTTGAACTCAGAAACCATTGGTGCCAGAGCCTGTACTTTAAACCACTACACTCTAATATCTCCGTGATTTTAATCAACAATAACGAAACAATAGATTTATATGATCATTTTTTTTTTTTTTTTAATTTTCTAGAGCATGTCTTATATTATTTATTATTTGTTTGTTTGTTGGTTTATACATGCACTGGTACAGTCAGAAGTGCGGAGGGTGAGAGAATTCACCAGAGCCAGAGCGGGGAGCAGAGCAGGCAGAAGGACCGAAGTACACTGCTGAGGGGAGCAGCGGGCGGCAGAGAGGTCTGCGCGCCATGTGGGACCCTCCTCTGGTGGCCGGGACAGCCGGGATTTAACCGCTGCAGAGGTTGCAGGCAGCTTCGCAACCAGCGCTCAACCGCTGCGCCACGGAGATATGATCATTTTAAATTTAAAAAAATAAAGATATTTTCCACACTTCTTAGAAAAGAGAAACCATTTTTCATGGTACTGAAACCTAAATATTTGTAACATTTTGGCATAACTATAATGAAATTTTCTTCTTTGTGTGTGCTTTTCTGTAATAAACTTAAACTAATTTTTTTTTTTTATTTCTCAAATTTGTTTATGATTGAAGAGTAGAGGAAGTCACTGCTTGGTAGGGAAGAAGCTATTTTATGGTGAACAGATAGTTATCACATTCTATCTTTCAAAATGTACCGAGGGCCTCCCCGGTGGCGCAGCGGTTGAGCGCTGGGTTGCGAAGCTGCCCGAAGCCTCTGCAGTGCCGGTTCGATCCCCGGCTGCTCCCCGGCCACCGGAGGAGGGTCCCACATGGCACGCAGACCTCTCCTGCCGCCCGCTGCTCCCCTCAGCAGTGTACTTCGGTCCTTCTGCCTGCTCTGCTCCCCGCTCTGGCTCTGGTGAATTCTCTCACCCTCCTGCGCTTCTGACTGTACCCAGTGCTTGTATAAATAAATAAATAAATCTTTAAAAAAAAAAAAAAAAAGGTCTACCGAAACACAGCCATTGCCTCACTTACCAGAAAAGGGAAACCATTTTATCATGGCCCTAACCCTAAATCTTAGCCCCATGGAAAGAGTTAAAATAACAGTGTAGAAGAAGGCTGGTTATATGTCTGGTTTGCAGTTACTCCATCTGAGGTTATTTAACTTTCTATGTAGTTCTCTTCTTCAAAGGGGAAGAGTTTATTCCACGATTTCCAAGAAGTGGAGTTCAGCCAAGGAGGCTGGTTCTGTTTTATCTCAGTGGTCAGTCATAGCCTGTTTCTGGATTCATATTTATAAACACAAATTCCACTAAAGCAGTTCTATCGACTTCATTAGTAATTGTCATCAAGCAGAAAGGCCTGACCCTTACAGCTGGATTTAACTTGTGAGCTATAAACAATTGCAAAAAACACAAAAAATGTATTAAAGGAAATGTTCCAAATTTCCAAACACCTAAAAATCTCAGCAATGCACTCACTCCAACAATGTAACATCATCTAAACTTCCAGATCAGAAAAAAAAAACTATGCTATAGTCCTGTTTTGGGGATTGGGGGGGCAGGATACAATGTTGAAGGAAAAAAACAACCAAGGGCAATGATGTATAGTCATAATTTTTTCCCATTTTATAATTGTGGTTTATGTGTATATTATATATACTATGTATTAATGTGTGTATATATGCATATGTATATGTGTGAGCATATATATTTGAATTAAATATATAGGAGTACTGCATGTGTGTGTGTGTGTG